TGTCGGTAATTTACCTTACCGCTGTACCTCGCACGACACATGCACAGGTGTGACAACCAAACAGTCATTATTAGTAAGGTCTATACTTATTGCATACAACAAATAAAGAGGTAAACATAATGCGTTAACTAAAAGAATTAATTATTTTAATTCATTAACTTCCTATCCTTTTCGAAGAAAATGCCCATGTAGAAACGTATTTCTCATCGATGTCGTGGCGTTGTTGGTGGATGAAACATGGCATATAAGGTATCGATAGAACGGCAATTTTATAAGCTTTTGTGAGTATTATTTGTTTTTTATAACACCTCAAAAATATACTAGTTATGGCCGCATTTGTAGCCCCCTACAGTTTCGAACCACGTGTGTACATGCCCCTAGCCAAATAAATTCCACACGCTACATGTATACTTGTTATATGTCAGATTATTATTTTTTTTATAACATTGTTTTTCTTAAATGCAAGGGGTATGAAAGTAATGATTTGACAAAGCAAGAGCTATAATAAGACTATCCCGGGTCCCGGTATACACTTGATCAGTGTTGATCAATGTTCATATGTACGAGTACACGTATGCAAATAATTCGATAGCTTTTGAAGATTTCAACATACATTTTTGTAACACGCATATTTGTAATAACCACTTTATATACAAAACAAAATTTCATTCTCTTATATGATAATATGGACGTCGTAATAGATCTGACTGAATGCTTGAAATGCCTGTTTCAAAAACGTTTCCTAAGTTATCTTAAGATATGCCTAAGTTATAACTTTAGAAGTTCCTAAGATTTATCACAGCTGTATCGCGAAACAATCTTATCTAAAAAAATTTATAAGTCATTTCTTAAGTTGTGCCTTTAAGGACTAATAAAATAACATTCCCGCTCTATATACAACTCTCAGTATGGTATATATTTTTAGATTCAAAAAGGAAGGGTGCGAGGATTGGGGATTGCCCCCACTTTTAAAGGATTTGGACACAAGTATGCTTAACTTTGCGAAGTGTGTTGCTAGATCTAAGCATTCACAGACACACCCTTTCAAGCCATCTTCCCTTCCGAGCACACGATATTTGTATTTTAATTTTTAAACATTGTTCTAGGTGTTATACATTTACTTTATTTTGTTCTTATAAGGTATCTACATGTAAATAAAATTTTAAAATGAATGCTTCGTAGCGAACACATGCGAGTTTATATTTTTCAAACAATCTTTGCCAATTACTACACTGCATGTACACGTTAGTTGTTTGTGCGGTGTAGAGCAACAATGTATTTCAACATCGAGGTGCCCGCGGCTCTCTGTGGCCACGTGTATGTAAACGAGGACTGGACTACAACTCTTAAAGACACAAAGCGGCAGAGATGGATGAAACTGTTTGCTATATTACAAAGACTTGAATTATAGTACATGTATATTTGAAGGAATTTTTATTTATGTTAATGTTTATTTAATTCTATAAATAATAAATGGACATTCACAAGAGTGATGGTAAAAATAATATGTGCGTAGCATGCTTAGTAATTACAATTATTTACCGAAGCCCCCATTCAATTACAATTGCAGATGAATTAAAATACAACAACACGGGATAGAGCAATACTTTTTTTAAATGTATTATTGCTGAACAGACAAAAACAGCGATTAAAATTTAAAATGATTTTTATGCACCAGTGTTTGGAATTAAGATTATAAAAGATCGGTAAAGTAATCTTACTGATTCGATATAATTAAAAACATAACTTTCCATTAATTAATAGCTCTTTGTACAAAATTGACATTATATACGCGATCACAAATACTAGCTTTGTTTAAGGCCACAGGTGGCTACTACACTGGTGACCTCGATCAACAGCGTGGGATTCGCGCGTTGGGTTACATAACTAAACATCGAGCTGAACATGGAGACCGTAATATGCATACAGCTAATGATCGTGAATTATTCAATGCATACAGTTTAAAATCACTTACAAAGTTTGTTGTAATAATAAACGTAGAAAGATAGATTTAATATTCTCCGCTTTTGAACACTATTAACCTAATTTAAAAAAGAAGAAAAGAAAGACTAGTTGTAATAAATAATTTAATAATGAACCATAAACCACGTTTTAATCCTTATTAAAAAGAAAATTAACATTAAATACTGCAGGGTATATTATTGATAGCATGTCTGTTTAAGTTATACACATGAAGAGGTCTGATTTCCTTGCCGAATGAAAAACGTTACCTGTTTACCTGGCCTGCTTTCTAATACGTATTACGCAATACCCATGGTATACTCGAACAAAACAACATTTTCATTAGATCAAAAAGGTGTAAAAGAACAATTTTGTTCGCAAGATCCAGATCGAAATATTTACCGTTTTTGAGTTATAAAGCAAAAACTTTTAAGGGCCCAAGATCCCTAATCATAGGGGCCAGCCCCTTTTAAATAGTATAATATGAAAGCCCTTGCAATTATGCACAACTTTTGTTCTACATGTCTTAACAAAATATTTCTAGTTTTCAAGATATAAAGGAAAATATGTCAAATTTTTTGCTGTTTTCCGCGTTCTAACTTTTGACCCCTCTCTAGCGCCATTTTTAATGCAAAAATCAAAAAACAAAAACCGATGTGCACAACTTCAATACTTCCTCTTTTCAATTTCAAAGGGTTTTGTGCTCCAATTATAACCATTTCTGAGCCTTTGTCTGGAAATCGGAGGCATGCAAAATTCAATCAAAGGGGAATAACTCGTGAACAGAAGGTAATTTCCGAATTGTATTACGGTATTCTGACAGTGTTTTGTAAAGTCTAAAAGCTCTGAAAATTTGAACAAAATCTGTTTAAAAATGAGGAAGATATGAAGCGTCAAAGTTGGCATCTAGGAAAAAAAAAAAGAAGAATAATCTTAATCATCACAATCAGTAGAAGGTCTTCCGTTGGAAACGGAAGACCTTAATAATAATCTTAACCATCAGAATCAGTAGAAGGTCTTCCGTTGGAAACGGAAGACCTTAATGACCAGCGGATATGGTCGAGGAAGGGAAAGAAATACGTTGTTTAAGAACAAATATTATGTACTTTTTGCAGCATATTAATTAATTTGAATTAATTGCGATAGACAATAATTACATACTTTTTGAGACAAAGTATCAGAATTGAGCGAGTTAGTCAAAAATCCTATCTCTTACCTATAGTTAATCCTATATGTAACGAACCTTCTTAAAAATGCTTTTCCCATGTTAAATTTTTGTGAAGTTTTGGCCGCATACACTTTCTGCAGATAAAAGCCTAATAAATCACAATAAATAGAGTATAACACAACTACATCAGTCTGCTGCAAGTTCATGTAGTTGATGTCAAACTCGATTTTTCAATGGACTTAGTTTTTTGTAGTATAGCCAAAGCGTATTTACATGTCTGTGTGAATATGGACGATTGTGACTTAATGTTTGGCATCTTTGTATCTGAGATCTGGTATTATAATAGTACATTCACGTCTTTTCACACTTCTTGATTTGTCGTAACCGATAACAGAATCGTTAGTACCAGATAGCATTAGACGATAAAGTCAAAGAATTGTACAAACAAACAAAAAGATACAGGAGGAAAATATTGATCTTAAATTTCAGTCTTTTACATTTTAAAATGCGCTTCTGCAAGTACTAAATGATTTTTTTGATATTATTTGAACCTTTAAAAAACTGCATGGTGAGGTATAATGAAGAGTAATTTCTTGGTGCTTATCGTTTTCTTTGACTATTATATACAGAACGATATAAATGACAAATGAAAATAATCAAATATAGCTATTTTACAACTTGTAAATATATGTTAAATGTTATGCAAAAATAGAGGTATATTTGTACGAAGGGGCCTTGCACTAAACTAAAAATAAAATACACATGTATATATATGTGTGTCATGAACGATGGAGGCGCATACAATATGCAACATGAAAAATGCATAATGTACTTTAATCCTAACATTACATAATAAACAGTCTGGTCAGATTTTACAAGATTCGTAATGCATTGCCTACTTAAAAGAAAAGTCTCTTTTGAGACTGTAGTTCGATTGGTTTGTTTTTGTTTCATTGGAAACTCACTTTAGGAGAAGAAGAATTCCAATTTTTTTTTCATGATTATTCTTTTACGTGTACCAAGTTTTACTGAAGGGATAGAATTTTAAAAGAATTTTACAGAATTTTCTAAACCTAATAAACATGCAACACTGTTAATCGGAATCAAAATCCGAAACACATATTAGTATGTGTCTTGGTGTGTACTACTGCACTCAAGTTTTATTGAAAATCAGAAATCAAACCAAAAATAAAGAAAGAGTAGTGTTTGCAATATCGTTTACACATAGACAGACTGATGGACAAAGGGCAGGCATCTCAACTATCGCAACTGCTATGTAAAATAGTATAGTAAAGAAAATTTATAACCCAGCTTTTCTTTATCTTGCCACATTCTTTCTGATAGCAGTGATCCATCTGTTGGTGTAACATGTATACTTTCGATTTGTATCTAAATAATGCACATCAAATAATTTTTTAATAGAATCGGTGCATTAAATTTTAATGTATCAAATGGTATGCTTGCATATTCTTACGTTTAAAATCGTGGAGGACCGGGGGGGGGGGGGGGCTCCGTCTCAAATAGATTTGTAAAACACGCACAGCTGAAATAGCTGCTACGAGTCTATACAGATGAATAGTATCGACACTAGATTTGTATGAAGGGTTATAACAACCTAGAAACATTATCCTCAGATGCATCATTCATCTAGCCGACTAACTCCCCCTCCCCAGGTCCTTCCCCCAGCTTGGTCCGCCTGTGTAACTTCAGAAATTTCACTTCTAAGTATTTAAAAAATTCAATAATTTAAATACATCTCAAAATATGTGTGATTGTCGAGTCTTTGAAATTTCAAATGGCACTCTATATGTACACAAAACGAACTCAGGACGCTCATAAGTATTCTTAGAATCATAGAAATCCATTTGTTTTATCCTTTATTTGTGAATTCCAAGCACCAATTATATAGTAACAATGGATTTTGAAAATTCAAAAAAAGATCGAGACTCATTCCTTTCAAGTCGTACACCATTGAGCACCATTACTTAGGCAATTGCTTCAGCATTGCAAAAATGGCCACAGCCACACCTTCCCCTAACTGATCTTCCGTGTATGGCTGATTCAGGGGTGGGACGTGAATGAAAGCGGAGCGCGACTTGTTGATGGATAGAGAAATGTAATAAACAAAGTCGCACAGGTACCTTAAAAACACACAAAACCTAAGTATAAACATCTACATATGTTGAATAATTTCAGTATGCTAAATAATTTCGAAACCATGAAAACTGGGATAGTTTTCAAAGTAAAAAAAAGTCAAATCTTCTAAACTCAGTTTGGCCTTTTTTGAGGTGTACATGTATATAAATGGTATTCAATATATTATTTTTTTCTAATTGAAAATCTGTTTACTAATTCCAAAATAGCACAAATGATGTTGAAAACGTTAAAAATCACACCTCCCAGTCTTAGCATAAGAAACCTCTGCTTGCAGCTCGTTATCTGCGTTGTTGATCTCGGCACTGACTCGACTCATGTCAAGCCCTGCACAGATACACTCTTCCCCTTCTTCCCTACAGCATTCCTTATTGGGAGTTTTTCCTTTGATGTCTTTGAGATAGTAGCCGGTGTTGTGAGCTCTCTGTTCTAGTGTGATTTTATTTACGAAGTCAGAGACTCCGACATGCACCATCAGCTGGAAAGTATAATTTAGTAATACATTGTATCAAGGTATTTTGGCGTTGTTATAGTAGATGTAGGTAATATCATAAAGATTAAAACATCTGTCCTACCCCACCCACAATTTGAATACGTGTATGTAGTATGTATATACATGTACGATGGGCGACTATAATACATGTACCATGTAATTCAAATGCAGCCAATAGTATTTAAAATTACAAAATAGACAATACATGTACATATATAAGATTAATCAATCTATTTTGAACCTTATGCAAATATATTTACATGAAGATACAATTATATCCAGGATGCTCACTCCTCAATGGCACCTGATCCCTCCTCTGTTTTTAGAGGTCCGTGCTTGCTCTGCTCACAATATGTATTGTTTAATTGGACTTTCGAGCATAATTATTGTTCCTTATCTTCAAATTTCATTCAGGTAAGTCATTGATTTCTCTTAACGTTTATTTCTAATGATTTTGTTATGATAATCACAAAAAGTACGAGCAGTACCAGAGGATCTTCCATTTCCCATAATTCTGTTACAATTTGGCTGACTTCTTGATAATCTACTGGAATTTCTTCAATATGCACATTGACATCAGGTAACAAGTTCCTTCGTTTCAGATTCTGTACAGCCACCCAGCTGACATTGACTGAATGTTCCCCAAAAGGCCCAAATCCTGTAAAATGATGACATACATTACACTTTCATGCCAGTATTTTGAAATAACATGAAGTTGTGACAATATCACTTCAGATGGAAATATCGACTCCAGGTTAACCCAGTATTTTGTACGACTATCAGTTGAAGGAGATGGTCACAAGAATATTCCTAAAAATGCTAGAATAGGATTAAAACGTTTACTAGAAAAAGAGATGCTTTAATATTGACTGAGCTATTTGGTCACCAGCTGATATCGGATTTGTTTAATCTCCACACATTTGTTTAAAACATTAACAGATGCAGTTACAAGTCAAATTATGGTAATACCAAGGATCATCCCTGAAATCATTTCTATAGCACATGTACATGTATATGCATTGACCTGCTTTAGGTCTATGGTATATGTTGCACGTTAGCTACATTTAAGATAAAACTATCATACCTGTGATTAGAACAGTCCTCTTGTCATTTCCCATGACCTCTTCAAATCGATAAAAAAACTTAAGATCTATGAAATAGCAAGTCAATGTTTCATGTGCATCACAATGTGACAAAAATTTGCCTGTTTAAAACAAGTAAATATATATATATATATAGAAACTGAAAGTAGAAAGTAGTGTTTAAGAAAATCGAGGAGTTCCGACATAACTATGCACACTTCACGAAACCGGAATTTTCTTTTTGGTACTACTATATAATTGCAGCAAATGTAATAGGTAATATTCTAAAGTTACTATTAAGTCAATTAAAACAAAGCTAGTGTCCTCATTATCAATCCTACTAATTCTTTGATTTTTCGGTGTACAGTAAATAAAAAGACCAGAGGAGTTCTCAGTAGCTCTGGCGAGACTTTAGTGAGACTACGTACAGCACCAGAAATTAGCCTAGCCTGGTTCCCTGTCCCTGTTATGCTTCGTATACTCCGCGACACTTGACAAGGATGAGCCAGGGAACCAGGCTAAAATTAGCCTAGCCTAGTTCCCTGTCCCTGTTATGCTTCTAGAACTCCGCAACATATCCACGCTAAGGCATTGCCGCAGAGTACACAAAGCAGAACAGGTACAGGAAAGTGACTCTAGTAGCATGATTGATTGTATGTTATTTTACAATCCATTCGACTAGTTTTGCGTCCCTTTCAAGATTATTTCACTTATATACGTAGATACATCATATCAGTGAAGGGCTTCAAATTTAGACCTTTTCTCGGCACTTAGGGCCATTGAGAAATATGAGAATTCTTTCTTGCCAACACCTACCATGACATCTCGGTTTTTAAGGTCTTATCCGAAAGACCCGTGACTTTCACATTTAATGCCGGGTGCTTGGCGAAGGAATAGTCACTACTTGTCATTAGGTTTGACGCGGCGCGGCTTACGAGAATCGAACTCGGGCCTTCCGATCACGAAGCGAACGCCCTACCACTAGGCTGTCGTGACTCGTGTGACTAAGAACTAGCTTATTTGGGTATCATAATTACCTTTATTATGGTAATCATTTTGATTGGGGTTGCCCAACAGCTTGCTGCTTTACCTGTGGTCAATTGTTTCATTCCAATTTCATTCCATTTTGCTTCTCTTGTGCCTAGTATGCTTATTTTGTGATTTCTCATCTCTTTCGCAACCTGTGCATGCATTTTTCTCCATCTCATATAAATAGTGTGAATATTCTACAGTGCAACTTTATGTCCCTTGCTTTAGCTAAAAGCGGGGGATATAAAATTTGGTTTGTCCGTCCGTCTGTCAATCGTTCTATGTGTAACATTTTTGTTTCCAGACGATATCTCAAAAAGTCCTTAAACTTTTGCAGTGAATCTTTATATCACATCTCCCTACGACTTAAAGAAAGCCAAAGGTTAAGGTTAGAAATTCATATACACATATTGTATAGAATGGTTTCCAGATGATAACTAGTTTCCTTGAGCTTTTGCAATGAAATTGTATATATTACTCCCTATGACTTAAAAAAGATCCCTATTAATTTTGAGGTCAAAATGACAAAGTCCAAGGTCAGAAATCCATAAGTTTAGATCTGTTGTTCCCAGAAGATAGTGTAACTAGTTTTGTTTGAGCCTAAGATGATAACTCTCTCTAATTTAAAAACATCCTTATCTATTTTTAGGCAGGTGTAAAGATGAATAATGACCCCCGTAGAATAATGAACGGGAGTAAATTTTCGACGTATAAAACTGACTCCTCGGCCGTAGAAAAATGTGTTTATTTCTTAGAAAAAAAATCCAGGAGTCAGTTTTCTATCTGTGCCATCTATAAGAAAATGACCCCGTTGACAAATGACCCCTAACCCAAAGAGAGTAATAAGAAATTCTATTCCACAGGGTGAATGATTCCAAGAGGAACTATCAGTTGTCAGGATATGGGTTGTAGCCCAATTCTTTTTTTTCTGACGAACCCATATATAGCAACACCCTCATGCTCATCCTTCAGTTTTTATGAAGCACCGAAGTTAATTGAAAATCAAGATATCATTAATTATTTCAAAATGTATGTCGAGCATAATAATTGAATTATTGCTTTCTTTAATTTAAATATCATAAAAAAATTAACATAGTTAAATGTAATTTACTATTGTTAACTACAGTCTACTACATTACATACTTACAAATACTTTGATTTACTATGTAACTTTATTCCAGAACCTTTTTTATTTAGATTTAGAGCCCTAATATCTCTTTAATTTCATTTAGTTTTAGAGCCATAACATCTCTTTAATTCCATGCCAATAACGTAAATTTAGAATATACTAGTAATATTTCTTTTAAATATCAAAATATCGTCTGTAGAATCGGAGGACATGAAATACAACATTTTGAAATACAGAGTAAAAAAAACCCCAGAAAACTTTGATTTACTGTAGTAAAAAATTGATTTACTACATGTATATACTAAAATCTTTGATACTATAGTAATATGTTTACCGGGGTATATATGCATATAAATTTCGATTATAAAAACTACGATCTATATACAATTGTATATGGACATATTTACCAAATATCGGGAAACTTTGCTCCCCCTTTTAACTTGGCTCAAATGGTGACCCTTTGGCCAGGACAGGGTGGGGCCATAAAAGGGGGGGGGGGGGTGAGTGAAACGTATAATCCTTAAAAAAGCAATGTCTTACTGAATAAAAATTAACATGGATGTTATTTGTGGAATTCGTATGGAAGATCTCAAAAAGTGTAGTTCAATTGTGGCTCATTTGGTATCGTCTGGGCCAGAATTGAGGTTTTATATAGGAATATATAGGAGAGTACCGTTTAAAAAACCTTCTCAAGGACAACATTGCTATATTTATTTGTCAAATGTATATGAAAGGACACTAATATAGTGTTAATTTATTTTTCTTTTATTTTCATATCCAGATTTTCGGCATAACAGTGGAGCCCCAGTCGAAAGTCTAAAACTATTACTTTTATTACATGAAATTGTAAATATTATACTATTGACTAAAAAAAGATTGTTTTATTATATTGTTTAATGATTAAATGTTTTATTATATTGTTTAATGATTAAATGATACAAACTCGTTAAATAAACCATATTATCTTTCTTGATATTTTTTTATTTTTGTTAAAGTTTTAGCCATAAACATAACCAGTTGTATTATTTGATATTTCTTAATCTATTTTAAAGAATACAATCAAGCTAATTTATAACATTTGGGACCCCCGCTTAAGGAGAAAAGAAGAGGGTGGAAGAACTGAAAAAATATGCAGATGGGGAAAGGGAGAAGAAGGTCAACCTTGACCTTTCAGCTTTTGGCCTTAAAAGAAATCCATGACCTTAAGTTTACTGAGCTTACTGAGAAGTAAAGTTATCAAATGAAACTTATGTGTACAATATGCAAATTTCTGACCTTGGTCTTTGACCTTTTGACCTCAAATCAATAGGAGTCTTTTTAAAGTCATATTGACTAACGGTATAAATTTCATTGCAAAACATAGAAAAGAACTAGAGTTATCACCAGAAAACCATTTTATGTAAGATATGAAATTTTGACCTTGACCTTTTTACCTAAAAATCAAGAAGGATCGTCATTAAGTCATTGATAGTTATGACATACATTTTCATTAAAAAAAAGCTCAAGAAAAATAAAGTTATCAACTAGAAACCAATTTTTGATATATATTTTATTTTTATGATATATAACTTCATTTTAAAAGCTTAAAGAGAATTTAAGTTTTCATCTGGAAACCATTTTTTGCAATATGTATGAATTTCTGACGTTGAACCTTTTTACCTCAAAATCAACAGGGGCCTTCTTAAGGCCACAAGAAGTTGGGATATAAAATTTCACTACAAAAGCTCCAAGGCTTCATGAATATAGGAGGAATTTAACTATACTAGAAGTTCTCAATCTATTTTTTGTCAATGTTTCTAGGCCAAAGTTATTTTAGATCTTCGGGCAAATTCTCTAAGGTGAGCAAATTTCCGCTGTCCTTGGCTCCTTCTGGCTCATACTTCGCCTGAATAATACCCTTGGGAAGAAATATAAGCAAAAGTGAAGGTCAAAACAAATATCTCTGTAAAGTCTTATTTAGAACATATTTTCTCTCTCTTTGTCTAATCTGGATCATACCTCAAAGAGTGACTGTGAGTAAAGTCAGTTTCCAAATAAAGTTATAGACAAAGTAGGCCTTTATGTGAAAAGGTCAGAATTCTAGTTCAAAGCAAACCTTTGTGTAAAAGTCTCGTCTGTAGTACATATTTTCTGCCCTTTGGTTCAATGTGCTTTTGAGTAAAGGGTACGTTGTTTAATGTCAGGATTTCTGTGTTAATTTCTAGTGTGTGTGTGTTGGGGGGGGGGATATATAATCTCCCCTTAATCCAACATAATTCCATTCACACTATTCTACTCTACACATTCTGTGTCTTTAATTTTTTTTAAAAACAAAAATATGTCTTTTCTTGCATATACATGTGATAGTGTCGTTTACTAATTTTTAATCAAAAATTAAAATAAGTACACTAATAGTCGTGTACTTATTTTAATTTTCAAATAAACATCCTTTCGAAAAAGAATGGTACTATAGTACCATATATACTTATAGACTAGTATAAATTTCCATTTGTATACTATAATTTTACAATACAAATGGAAAAGTGTACAATACAAAAGGAAAATCATACAATACAAATGAGAAATTATACAATACAAAAGGAAAATTATACAATACAAATTGAAAATTATACAATATAAATGGAAAATTTTAGAATACAAATAAAAATTATACAATACAAATAAAAATATACAATACAAATGGAAAACTATACAATACCAATGGAAAATTAAAGAAAATAAATAAAAATTATACAATACATGTACAAATAAAAAATTATAATACAAATGGCCTCAGGCAAATAGTTTGGTTCGAGGGGTCGACAAAACGCATTTTGCCCGAGAACACAGTCAATAAATGTTTTGTTAAACCTTTTACTTTTTATTTTGACATAACATGATGTAAATTTTGTTTACCCGCACTGCGGTTTAAATTTGGTCAATTCCGTAAAGTTCTGTCGAACTCC